GATTTATAGAAATAAAAAGAAATGATCTCTAAAACTTGAGATAAGATTTTGTGTTTAATATTTCCATGTCTATTGCATTAAAATAAAAACATACAATTACTCAAAAAGAAATTAAAAGCTGAAAAAATAACAGTTAAAAAAAGCTGGGCATTTTCAGTTACCAGAAACTTCCCGTTTCAATCCTGAAAACAACTCTACCACTTAGATAGTCTTGCATGTGTCTTACAGTGGAGGATACTTTTAAATAGCTTGTCCAGGATATTGTAGCTAATAAGTGGTATCAAAGCCCATATTTTATGTTTTGTACTGATTAATGAAGTTGTTTAAGATAGATCCTGGAAAGAGAAAGTCAGTTTATATTGTGTCTCAATAAAGCTAAAAATAAAAACATATTTAAACCTATTAGTACCGTGCCTTGGTCACTATTTAACAATTGATCTGAACATTACAGTCAAGAAAATTTATTACATGCAGCTTCAGATTGCGAAGTAGGAATAGTGGGTTATATTCACTATGCTGTGGTTTACTTCACATGGCACCAATTAATTTTTGGCTCTGTTTCCATGTGTAATAGAAAAGGAAGGTGGTTATTCAAATAAATCATTGAAATACATCTAACTACACTTTTCAAAGAAAGTATTTTGAGAAATTGGATGTTTCTTTATATTTATCTCAATTAAATTCTGTAATTTACTTTCAGATAGTGATAAAAAAATGTGTATACTTTTTTTCATGGTTTTAAACAAAGTGACATTCGCTTTTCTCACATTTTCTTAAAGCAAAAGTAAAATATTCTTTGAAATGTTGGACAGGTCAAATTTAGCCTTTTTGCAAAAAGGACTAAAAATTAATTAAATAATTATTATCCCACAACTCTGTATTTTTCTTCGTTTCTATGAGCATGTATTTATTGATGGCAAAGACATTAGTGATAATATAACCATTGCACTGAATTACCTATTTATTCCCCCAAAAGTTCTTAATTTCTTCCACACAGCCAAAATATCCAACTCCACATTTCCCCATTTTAGCTAGTATAGGTAAGTCCATTTCTTCTTAATTTCTCAAAATTAGATCTTAACCAATCATCATCTTTTTCTCCAGAATCCCAAAAGCTGTCTGTTGGCAAATCATTCCAGGACAAGCGTTTTACGTATTAGACCCTGGGTTTCATAGCAATGAGAGCAGTTAAGTTTCTTTGTGCTCAGGGAGTTAAAGGACTCTAAAACCCTGATCTTCTGTGACTCCCTTCTAATTGTGGTTCTCAAAAACAGTGATTGCTTTCTCAGCCAGTGCTAATTTTAAGTTTTTCAAAATTGTTAACTTAATTACTTCGGAGGCAGATAGACAAGACACTTAGAGAACTTCATTCACTGGTTTACTCTACAAATGTTGGCAATGGCTTAGAATTGGAACAGGCATATCTAGGGAAATGAATTCAGGTCTCCTATGTGGAAAACAGGAACCCAAGACCTGAGCCGTCATGCTGTCTCCATGGTCCGCACTGGCTGGAAGCTGGAGTTAGGCATTTGAGATAGGCATTGAGTTCAGGTACCTGGATAAGTAACATGGGCATCGCATCTTAGCCTCTAGGCTAAACTCAGCCCTGCAAGTTGTAGTTTTAAAGGTCCTAGAGTAGTTATTCAACAATGAGGGTGTCTGTAGGAGGATGATCATAATCACATTTCTATGTGCTATTTTTGTAATGCAGCTGTCAACATTTCTCTCTCTTCCTGGTTTGAAACACATGAATGCAACTAGGAGTCAGGGGAAGCCAATTTGGTTATTACAGCACCCTTTGGAGATTTCCTCCTCTCTCTACTGTATCAGTAGATTTAATATTTACTCATTAGTTTTTCTTTTGAAATGTAGAATACTAGTTGAACATCTAAGACTAATGTATAAGTTTTCTACATAATCATGTAATTTTTGGTGACAAAAATGCTGAAATTTCTGTATGTAACTTTAAGATTCATCCTTTAAATATCTCTTTTTAAAAAAGATTGTGTTTTTGTCCATTTCTTATTTTGCTCCCTGTTTGTGGCCTGGGAAAGCAGTGGAGGATGACCCAAGATCTTGAACCTGCAACCATGGGGAAAGCTGGAAAGAGGCATCTGAGTCCCACTTTCCATCAGCTCAGCTCTGGCCTTTGTAGCCATCTGGGGAGTGAACCAAGGACGGGAAGACTTCTGTCTCTTTCTCCCTACAAATCTGTCATTATCAATAAATCATTTTTTAAAAGTTATTTGAAAGGCAGAGAGACAGAAACAGAAATGTCTCCCATTTGCTGGTTCATATCCTAAAGGCCACACAGAAGCCAGGAGTCTGAAACTCAATGTGAGTTTCCCAATTTGGGATCAGGGATCTAAGGACTTGAGTCATGACACGTGGGCTCCCAGGGTGCTGATGAGCAAGAAGCTGGAATGGAGAGCAGAAGCAGGTCTCCAGCCCAAGCACTCTGTCAATGGCTGTGGCGTCCTAGAGAACCGCTACATCAGAAAACTGCACTAGACATTCATATTTTAAAGCAGCATAGGATTTTAGGGCTATTAAATTTTGGTTCATTTTGTTCAATTAATTCATTCTATAGATACAAACACTTAGATCCAATGATAAAGGTACCACTGAATTGAGTAATTTCTATGGTCAGAATAGTTTGATTTAAAAATAAAACAAGGTATCATTTACATTTCAGTTGAAATTGTTCTCAATGTCAGAAAACAAACTAAATATAAAAATACTTAAAGTACATAATTATAAACAACACAGAATTATATCTACTTTATTTCTATGATGACAATTTGAGCATTAAAAACTTAAATATAGCTAAGAATAGGGCAGGTACTGTGGCATAGTGCATCCTACATGGGTGCCAGTTCAAGTCCTATTTGTTCCATTTCTGATCTAGCTGCCTGCTGATATGCCTGGAAAAGCAATGGTGGTTGGTTTGAGCAGTTGGGCCTGGTATACCTGGAAGGAGTTCTTGGTTTTGGCCTGATCCAGTTCTGGCAGTGGTGGTCATTTGGGGAGTGAATCAGCAGATGGAAGAGCTGTTTCTGTTTCTCTCTTGGCTCTGTAACTCTAACTTTCAGATAAATAAATCTTTAAAAAAAGAAGTCAATGGATATATGAACTTTCTTTTTGCTTTAGAGTCTACATAAAGGTCATCATGTCTGAGGAATACAGAAATGTCAACTAACAATGTTTCATTTTCCTTTAATGACGTTGATGAAGAGATTAGGACATTATTGTGGTGCAGGAATTCAGTTGTTCTCCTAATGTGTTTTCCCCACTTGCTTTGGAAACCTTTTCTTTGAGATGTGGTAGTCAGCCACACTTTAACTTCAGTAACATCTTCATTGTTTTAACTTTGCTGTAATTAAGATAACCTAACAATATTAAGTAACTCAGTTTCCTTTCTCCACACCTACCATTAACTCCTGTTGCATGTGACTATCTGGCAGACATCAATAGCCTGAGTGGAAGAGGACCACTGTTCTATTCTGATAAACTTAGTCAAATTCGGAGGATTTCCAATGCAGCGAAACACCTGTGCAAAGAGCTACTATGATTACTTCAGTTGGATTTAAATTTACTTGAAATGATCAGTTTGCAGTCATATTTCCTTAGCTGTGATAGCTGATTTTAATTTCCCAACTATTTCTTGATGATGTAGTCAAAAAAGTTTTCAATTGCTGCTGAAACTCGACTTCCTCTTCCAGAGGTTACACTGTTATTTTTCCCTATACTGCATACTTTGCCCAACACCGAGCAGAACCATGATTTACACATTATGCTTAGCCTCATTTCCTACATATATTTCTAGAAGTTTAAATATTTGGCAAATATTTAAGTTTGGGGTGATTAAAGAGAGCCACACAGAAAATTAACACAAGAGTTGTACAGTCCAAAGAGGAAATAATCAAATAAATTGCTATTTTTAAACAACATCAGCAAACAGAAGGAAGGAAGGATTATTTCAGAATACATTTATTCATAAGCAAGAAAATAACAGAAAAAGTAATGTTTAAAAAGACTGCAAGGCTAACAGTTGAATCCCTATTAAACGTTTTACATTTGACGTCTTATGAGTGGATGTGAGCATGGATAATTAGTTTTCTTCCTCAAGCAGCCAAAAAGGATGTTAAAAATATAAATAAGACTTCAGAAAACATGAAGAGTGAAAGCAACCGCAATCATTGTTGTAGGAGTTGTGTTATTTCAAGAACTGCATCTGCATTGATCAACTGTGAGAGCACAGGATGTACAGTCCACCACGGGGAGTGTGTGTGTAGGATTAAAAAATGAGGAACATGCCAACATCCTCAGGAAAAATAAACATAGCTTCGTCCATAAAAAGCCTCCAAGCAGAAAAAAAATCCTCCAGTAACAAAAACAGTTTTCAAATGCCTGGACTTAGATTTAGTTGGGGAGGGAGGGGGGCGATTAACTGCAGACCAGCTCCCACCATCTCTTGAGTGATTCTGAGCAAGGGTTGGGCAGGCAGCAGAGAGCGGTGAGGGGACAGAGCAAAGATTGGGATTTCATGTTCCCAGGTGTTCCATGGCCACACCTTGCAGTGGACCCAGAAGCAAGTCCTTCTGATCTCTCCCGTTTCCGTTCACTAATCAAGGGACAGTCCAGTTAAGATCTCCAATGAACCTCCATTTCTGAACACAAGTTATATGAGCTGGTCTCCGCCCCCAGCACATGGAAAACAAACTTCCAGGGTGCACAAGAACAACTCTACTACCCTTCAGCCTCAGTCCTAAAGAACTCTAGTTTGGGCCGCTAAACGGCCCAGGTCTCGCAGCTCACCCCTATGTATCTCCCAGCAAGCCCCGCTCCCGGTCCCGCCACGTGGCTGGTCCTCAGGACGCTCCGCCCCCAGCAAGTGTGGCGGAAGTACCCTGAGGAGCGCGAGACCGCGCGCCACCTAGCCGAACGCGCATGCGCTGGCGCCGAGCGCAGTGGGGCCGCCGGGCTCGCTCCCTCCTCTCAGTCTCTACGGCCCCCGCCTCAGAGTCGGCACCCGCCATCTTGCACCCCCCCCCCCCACACAGCCGAGTCACCTTTATCCTTCCTAGATCCCCCGCCATCTCCCTTCCCTCCCCTTTTCAATCCTGTCGCGGGCCGCCGCAGCAGAAACCGCGCCATCTCTGCCCCCACAGTCTCCACGCGGGACGCGCAGCCGTGCCACAAGTGTTCTTAGAGCAGAGGTTGTAGAGGGCGTGGGGGGCGGCGCGGGGCGCGGTTCGGGGAGCGGTCAGGGCGCCGGGAGGGACGCCGTGCGCGGCACCGTGACGCGGGGCTCCCCTGCCGGCCACGCCCCGACCCCAGCCCGAGGGCGGCCGCCGGGGAGTGCGCGGGAAGGCCGGGGGACGGCGGCCGCGCGAGGCTCCGGCTGCGATGGAGTCGGCGTAGACTCCTCCCCGCCGGCGGGTGGGCGTGGGGCGCGGGCGGCTCGCCGAGGCGTCGCTCGCGTGCCGCCCGGGCTGCGTTTTGAGGGGAGACTCAAGAAGGCGGGTGTTGCTTTACAACCCGTGAGGAAGAGCGAGGTGGGCCTTAGGGGAAGTGGAGATCCCATGCAAAGGAATAATCAACTCTGCCCTCCCGGGATGCGCCCATCTCCGTGACTCCTGGGAGAATGACTTAGCCTCCATCAGGACTGGGAGCGTGATGTGATGGCGAGATACACGTTAGATGCCAGTTCTGCTTACTAGTTATCCTTGGATCTTCATGTTTTAAGAGCTGACAATGTTTTGTTCATTAAAAATCAAGGCACATGTCTAGCAAATGAAAGGGCTAGTGGAATATATCTGACTATCTGACTATCCTGGATACAATGTTACCACTTTACAGGTTGATCAATTAGCTTGTCCCCACAAACCTGTTCCCACAATAACTAGAAACTTGGGTAAGCTTGGAGCAGAAGGAAAAAAGGGAGGGGAGGTGCGGGGGAGACCGCTGTCTGAGGACTTGAAGAGCAAATGGAGATTGGAAGTGGTGAAATTTATGGTGAATTCAGAAAAGCCTTCAAAGAGAGTGGACCTGAATTTGAGGGACAGTTTCTTGATAGTGCATTGCAGAAATGGAATGCATTCATCATATGAGGCAAGGAAATATGCCTAGGTTTTGAGCCACAGTGGCCAATGGGACTTTCTGCCATTACGGAAATGCTCTCTAACCTGTGCCTGTCTAATATGTTGGCCATTAAGGGACAAGTGGCTCTGGGGCACTTGACATGTCACAAGTGCCACGGAGCATCATAATTTTTCATTTTATGTTTTAGTAAATTGATTAGCATTTGCATTTATGCAGCCACCTGTTCTTACTTCATTGGGCAGGATAGGTTTTGATTGTGAGAGCCCTTCGAATTCTTGATTGGACTGAGTTTTAAAGCCAATTCTTTGAACATTTATTGCTGCAGGGAATCATAATTATATTCACATAATACCTTTCATTCAGATACTGTATTTGAAAGCTTGGGTCTATTAGTATTTATTTACAGCTTGACAAAGCAAAGTGTTCTTTTGACTCCTACATTGTGCACAGCTAGTGCCAGATTATACGGGCGAGCCAGAACCGTGCTAAAGGGGGCTTCCTGCAACAGTGATGGCACTTCACTGCGTGCCTGAGTTTACCCCTAACTTGTATCATTTTGGTTAGTTTTTCAGTGAAGACTTTGCAATTCTTCATCCTTTTTATTCCTGGAGTTCTTTTCATTTGAAGGGTAGTGCTTTTTTTTTTTTTTAAACTTTTATATAATGAAACAACTTGATAAATTACATAGCAGTAACTTTTGAGCATTGCAATATTTTAGAAGTATTTTTATGGTTACTGTAGTCAGACTTTTTAAGGAGATAAGGGAAAATTGGTGATGGATGTTTCGCAAGATTACTTTGTGAGGATTCTTTAAAATATATATGTCCTACTTTACAAGCAGTTTATTTTTTTCCAAGACAGATTTGAAAGTAAAATTTTAGAAATACTTTTATAGAAAACACTCTTGACCCCAGCTGTAAAATTGTGCCCTTGGTCTTTAGGCAGATGATAGTTGTAATGATCTGGAACAGCTTCAGTTCATGAATTTAAATCATATGCAGAGACAAGCTCATAATCAGAATGAGTTGCTCTATGTCAAGTGACTGTATCACTTATTTTTTTTAGTGACAGTTGTGGCTGTCCCAGGATAATTATTAATATAGTCCTTTTCACCATAAAAAATGGCTCAGTTGGGACCACGTACTGATATGGCCACTGTACTTTTTGACTTGCTGAAATTTGCAATACAGACTGCTGTAGAACAGGGACAGAGTTGCTGCTTTTGTATATAAGTAATATACCGGCTGTCTGGCCAGCAAGTGACTTGTCTATTTAATCCACTGATAATTTAAACATTTTTCTTTGGAAAGAAATTTTGAACGCTTGATTTTGATTCTCTAGAAGAAAATGAATTTTTGGTATAGAGAATGCCAAAGAAAGTTAGGCTCCGTCTCTCAGAGAAGCAGCTGAGTGTTTGTGGTGGGATTTTATCAGGTCAGAAGTCTGATTGTTGTAGATAAACATGGTCAAGAACAATTTCACTGATTTCATGAAATAGTAATCTAGCCAAGTGCATTGTTGTATTCATGTATGCTTCAGTGGATAAAATAGTAAGGGTCAAACACTTGGTTTACATCCTCCCCCTGCTACTTTTTACCGTGTGATTTCAGGTAAATTATTTAATCTTTCAAGAAACGTCAAGTTTCCTCACTTATAAAATGGAGATAGTAGTAGCATTTGCTTGTAGTTCCATAGGGGATACGTGAGGCAGCCCACATGATGGGCTGGATGCAGCTCACCACATCTGAGCTAACGGTGGCCTTCCGTCAGTCGCCTAGCTAACCCTCGGAGATGCACTGTGCAGCAGCGGAAGGGGCGCTGGACACCAGATCTGGAAGCTTAGCTTTTACCGCTTTCTGCTGCATTATCTCTGTGACTTTGGTTAGCGTATTTAGCTTTTTGGAGCGTCAATTTCCTCATCAGTAAGATGGATTAGTACAAAACTTCATCTTACAGAATTGTTGGTGGACCTCAAATGAGAGTATTTCCACGTTTTTGTCTTGTTTTACGGACATTTTTAAATTTAATGGGTTGTCTTATCTGGTGTACTTTCTTCCTCAAGAAAAGACTGACGCTGAATCTACAAAGGGCGTGTAATATGTGTAACAACATAAGTAGTGTGTGGTAGGCACTCCACCAAAGTTCCCTTTTACGAATAACTCTGAGCTACAATAATTGATTTATTATACTAGATGAGAATCAACATTTTCCTAGGCATTGGTTGTGAGGCACTCACTGTACCAAGCACAGTACCTCATTTATGTAACCAAACTGTCATTTCTACTGATGATAGTCTTACTTTCTGCAACAGGTCTGTCAGGCATTTCTCTTAGTATGAAAAGATTTGAATAAATTCATAGAGAAAGTTTATTTGCTAAGTTTCTTTGGGTGCAAAAAACTAAAATCAATGCATAGCTTTCTCATAAGATACATCTTCTGTGAAAAATTTTTTTAAAGGTTTGTTTTTATTGTTAAGGTGGTACTGTAGGCAAGGGCTTAGCCTTATATACTACCATACCAGCCCCTCTCATGAACTTTTTTTTAAAAATTTACTTATTATTTCTATTGGAAATTCAGATTTACAGAGAGAAAGATCTGCTGTGTGCTAATTCACTCCCCAAGTGGCTGCAACGGCTGGGGCAGAGCTGATCCGAGGCCAGGGGACAGGAGCTTCTTCCAGGTCTCCCACAGGGGTGCAGAGTCCCAGGCCCTGGGCCGTCCTCTGCTGCTTTCCCAGGCCAAAAATAGAGTTAGGCAGGTCTGAACCAGTGTCCATATGGGATTCTGGTGCAGGCAAGGTGAGGACTTCAGCCACTAGGCTACTGCGCCGGGCCCCTTTCAATGACCTTCTAAAGACTGTTGTATGCATGGATTTTAAAAAAGTTTTTGTACCAAAATAAATTTATTCTTTTATTGTTTTTCCAGAGATTTTTTGAAATACTGTGGTATAGTACTGCCTATTGATAGTTAATGTGTAATGAGGTAACATAAGGCATTAATAATGAAAATAGCACGTGGACTAGCATATGATATGTGATAGTTACTGAAAAAATGTATTCATTGAAATCAGAAGATATTAAAAATCTAAATAATTCTGTGAATGTACTTTATAAACAAACACTGTACCAACTTATTTAAAAATCTTGAAGATTACTTTTGCTATTTAATTTAGTTCTGATGTGTTTTTTGACTCAATCTTCTGTATTTCAGTTTAGTCCTATGTTTAGAAGAATTCTTAATCATGACTTTCTTTGAGAATATACAGTATGTTTAATGATATCCTTTGTGATATTTTTAAGATGCTCTGTCTCATCATGGTGACGGACATGCACTGGGTGCTTTACATGTGTCAAGTGCTGCCCTGGGTGCTTTATGTGCTTTATTGCGTGTAGCCTATTAGGGGAACTGTGCTAATTGGCGTTTTAGAGATGAGAGTGACTGAGGCAGGGAGGTAACGGGACTAATTCAACGGCACGTGTTGTTAGTGCTGGGTTTGCACGCCAGAGCCCAGGTCTTGACTGCTACCCTGTTGTTCAGCATAGGCAGGCATTTCACAACAAAGTTTACTATGACAGACACATTGTAGAGGTGTGGTGAGTTAGTCATGATAAGCTTTTATTTGTATGTTCCTCGTTGTATAGTAGCGAGAACTCTGTTGGAGTCAGGGGAACCTCAGTTTTAGTCCCAGCGTTATCACTAAATAGTGATGTGTCCTTAGGCAGCTCAAGAAACCTCTCTGGACTTCAGTTTCCTCACCTGAAAAATGAGGGATTTGGATGAAATTAGTGATATTCAAACTATAATCTGAAGGCTTGTCAGCTGTCTTTGGTCCCCTTCCCTCCATTTTGCTATAATAATTGTTTATCCATCTCCTTAAGATTTCTGCTAAAGAATTCTGAATTTAATGTTTAAACTTACAAGTCTTCAAGATAGGTTAGTGACAGTATAATTCTCCTGACTGCTATGTGTACATGGTTCAGCAATTTCACATTAAAAAAATGTATTTGTTGATAAGTATTTGTATATGTATGTATATGTACACAAACACCCACATACATGTATGTAGAATATGTCACATTATCAGCTATGTGGGATAAAAGCTCTTTTAAAAATA